GTTGGGCACTTCACGGCCCCGGAGTCGCAGCAGACGACCTTGTTCTGGGGGGTGACCGCATAGGGGATGAAGGTGTAAGTGCCGCAGAGGCCCTGAGAGAGGGGAGAAGGGGTGAGCGGCTGTGCCAGCCGAGCTGAGAGTCCCCCTACTCGTGCCATGCACCAGCCCCCTCATCTCACCAGCCCCACGCTGCCCGCACCGTACAGGCTGTGCCAACACAACCACCTTCCATAGGGCATTAGCAAGGAAAGACAAACCAGCTTTATCTCTGGCTGCCATCATTACACTCCAGAGTGAACACTCCCGGTTCTTTCAAGACCAGGTACCCCTCCCCATGCTGCTGTTCCCAGTGCTTGCTCTCAGTGAGTGACACACCCCAAGCCCCCCAAACTCAGATTTGGGGGGAGGTCTCGCTCCCTCTCTGTAATGTCCACCTTCTGAGGCAGGAGGGAGGCGGCTCAAGAGGATCAGGAAAAAACGACGTACCGAGTTTTTCTGGCAGATGTCCTCCTGGGAAGAGAGGGGAGGAGGAGGGATTTAATGAGAATCCCTGGCAAAAGAAACCAGCTGATTTCAGGCTCAGGGATTGGAGTTACCTGGAAAACAGCCAGGGACAGCGGGGGCCATCGGGGCCGAGCCGCGTGCGGACCCCCCCACCCCAGGCAGGTCTGCCAACGCAGCCGCTCTCCTCCAAACTCGGCACAGGGAAGGGGTCACCGAATGGGTGCCTGGGGTTCCCCTGAGTCAGGGTGACGTTTGGGGACGATTTGGACATGCTCCCAGCCACTTTTTTTTTCCCCAAGCCGCAAGAATCCTTCCCCGCCAGCCCCTTCTGTGTGGAAGGTTTCGCTTCCAAGGAATCGCCTTTCCCCAGGGAAAAGCGCCTGTTCCCAAATTCCTGGCCAGTTGGGGCCAGGGGAGCACCGAGCACCCCACACCCAGTTCTGGGGCTCACTGGGGTCCCCAGCCACCCCCTCCTCATCCCATCCAGGTGCAGGGAAACCTCCTCCAGAGCATGGTGAGACTGTGGGAACTCAGCTGGGCTCGGGGATGGAGATCCCCCTCTTGCCGGTGCGGATGCTCCAGGCTCTTGGGGCTATTCCCACCTCGGAGCAGCAGCACCCAGGGGGCCGGGGTGTCCCTGTCCCTCTCCCCGCTGACCTGCAGGGCCTGGAGGGGGGGCAGGTCGGCCTGGCAGCACAGCAGGACGTTGTGGGACATGTTGAAGCTCTCGCGGACGCCCAGGTGGTAGAAGAGGGAGGGCTGGCAGACGGAGTCGCTCAGCTCCACCACGGCCACGTCTGCAGGCAGGACACGGGGATGCTCATGGGATCGACACCAGATCCTAAATTCATGGGGCAGGGGAACCAGCCACCCCTGAGTTTGGGGGGGGTCTGTATTCCCTAAGAGAGGGGATGGCACTCGCCCTCACAGCATTGAGGCCACAGTGAGGGGCACCCGCTTGTCCCTCGGCACAGGGCTGAACCCTGAGCAAACCCGCCGCAAAAAAAACACCCTTCCCGAAATCACACGCGGATGTTTAAGGCCAGGGAGGAAGACATCCCGACAAATGTCCAACCAGGCTGGAAAGTAAACAGGAGGAGGGCAGAAGAGCAAACAGAGAACCACCCGAGCTGCACGGGGGGCGAGGGAAAGTCTCAGCCCAGCTATTCCCGGACAACGGGGATGACCAGGGAGAGCAGCAGAAAAAGAGGAAAAAAACAGAGGCGACCTGGCGGAGCGGCTGGCCTCCTCACCTGCGTTGTAGAAGCGGTCGAGGGTGCTGGCGTGGCCCAGCGCCAGGGTGCCGAAGGGCAGGGCGTGCAGGCGTGCGCGGAGGTGGCGGCAGGCACGGCGCAGGCTGCGCAGCGCGGGGCAGGCGGTGGGCTCCCGGCCCAGCACACAGACGACGCTCAGCGCCCGCCGCCCGCTCGCCCGTCCCTGCGTCCCGCACACCGGCCGGCTCGGCGTGCCCGCTACCACCAGTGGGTCCTGCCAGCAGCTCCCGGTGACTGGGGGGGTCCTGGGCATTTCCATGGCTTGGGGGGTAGGCTGATCCATGGAGGGGAAGGGGGGATTGAGCTGAGCACCGGGAGATGCTCTGGTCCTTACTGGGAGAGCCCTTACCTTGCACCGGGCTGCCCCCCCGGCAGAGCCTGTACCCCATACCGGGCTGTCCTGAACCCAATCATTCCCCCCCCGCCCCCGGGAAACCCTTCACCGGGCTGCCCCGGTCCTTACCGGGAGAGTTCCCCGAGGGGCCGGCTCGCACCGGGAGGGTCCGCCCCGCTCACCGGGCTCCTTCCCGGGTTGCTCCGCACCGAAGCTGCCCCGCACCGGGCTCCGCTCCGCCCCGCTCCGCCCCGGGCACCGGGAGCAGCTTCCGCCTGGCCCGGCCGTGAGTCAACGGCGGCCCCGCCCGCTCCCCCCCGGGACGGGACGGGACGGGACGGGACGGGACGGGACGGGACGGGACAGACCCCCCTCCCCGCTCGGTGGGATCCTGCCCCGCGACCGGCACCGGTTCCAAAGGGCAGGTTGCAAAACGGGAGCCAGGAGAAGGGGAAGTTAGGGGGGTCCGGGGGTGGGGGTGGGGGTGGGGAGGACCCGGGGCTGGTTCCCCTTCCCTGCGCATCTCGCAGCCAAAATAACGGCCCCGAAGTGGCCTGGGTGGCAGGAGCGGCGGCAAAGCCAAGCCGGGGTTCACTGGGAGGGGCAAAGCGCTGGGCAGCCCCCTCTGTACCCCCAGTGCATCCCCCCGGCTGGGGCGAGGAGCCGGGAAAGGTCCCCGGGGGACGGAGATGGGGTGGAAACGGCTAGTGGGGTTGGCTGGGGAACTGGGAACCGCGCAGGCAGAGCTGCAGGTGGGACATGGGCAGAGTATGGGCAGAGAACAGGCAGGGCATGTTCAGAGTATGGGCAGAGCATGGGCAGGGTACAGGCAGAGCATGGGCAGGGTACGGGCAGAGCACGGGCAGGGTACGGGCAGAGTACAGGCAGAGTATGGGCAGGGCACGGGCAGAGTATGGGCAGAGTATGGGCAGAGTACGGGCAGAGTATGGGCAGAGTACAGGCAGAGCATGGGCAGGGTACGGGCAGAGCATGGGCAGAACACGGGCAGGGTACGGGCAGAGCACGGGCAGGACACGGGCAGAGTACGGGCAGAGTATGGGCAGGACACGGGCAGAGTACGGGCAGAGTACGGGCAGAGTATGGGCAGGGTACAGGCAGAGCATGGGCAGAGCATGAGCAAAGTACAGGCAGAATACGGGCAGAGTACAGGCAGGGCACAGGCAGGGCACGGGCAAAGCTACACTCGTGGCTCTGAAATGCATCATCCCCGGCTGGGAGGGTCTTGGTCCACGGTGAGATGCTCGGGACAGGCTGGCACAGCACCCTGGGTTGGGCTGAGAAGCCACTGCAGAGGCAGACACGAGGGCAAACAAACCATCACAGGGGCAAACGAGCCACTGGACAGGCAGGTCGAGCCACCACACTTGCAGATGAGCCATCCCAGCATTGTTCCCACAGCCGGGCTGGGGCAGGAGCGGGGATGCCGGGTGCCCGGGGGACAGCGGGGCACAGAGCCCTGCCCGCCCCGGCCTGCCGCTCAGCCCCGCTGCCATTTCGGGGCAGGCAGAGCCGGGGGTGCGGTGGCCACGGCTCATGCCCTGCCCAGCCTTCTCCCCTGCCACCGCGTCCCTCCTCCTCCTCACCATCCCAGGGGGGTGACGGGCCTTAGCGGGGCTGGATGTGGCCGCAGAGGTTGCCTGCCCACGCTCGTCCAGAGCCAGGGAGCCCAGCCTAGCAGTCCCCCCCCCCAATTCCTCCAGCCCCAGGCTGCAGCCCCCCCTGCCGGGGCCAGGAAAGGGGGTGTAGCCCACAAAGTGGGGGTGAGATCCCCAGGACAGGAGGGGACAACATCCTGTTGCTCCATCCTCCAGTGTGGCATCACCTCTCCCCACGGTCACTGAGAGGACTGGAATCACTCCATTACCATCTCCCATTCTCATACTGGTTCCCCTCTCCTGGTCACGGGGAGGACTGGAGTCACCCACCAACCTGTGGCCAGGATGCAGCCATGCCCCCAGCTGCAGATACGGGGTTTGCAACCAAAACCCCCGGGGCAGCACCCACTGCTTGGGCTCCGGGGGGGTGACGGGTGACAACGACACGGACGCCAGGAAGAGAAGGAAAATTCTTTATTAGGTCTCTGTCCCCGCTGCACCGGCTCAGGCGCAGCAAAGGGCCACCCCACCGCCATCCGTGGCCACGTGTCCTCTGATCCCTTGGGGTGCCACGCGTCCCCCAGGACTCCTGGCGAGCACAAGGCTGCGATTCGGGGCTGGATGGGACCCCCCCCATGTCCAGCTGCACCCCCCTGGGGGCAGCCAGAGGGTGCAAACTCCCCCTCCCCTTACCCCGGGACAGGGGTCAGGACTGGGTGACATGTCCCACCCTGGTGTCCCCTGGGGCAGAGCCAGCTTTGCATAGTTGTGGTGAGGGGCCCTGCAGCCGCGGCGGGGGGGTGGGGGGACACACACACAAACGCACACACAGCCTGGCAGCGGGCAGGGACGGTGGCAGCGGGCAGGGACACCGGCAGCGCTGGCATCTTCTCCGCCTGCCCCGGGGGGAGGACGAGGGCAGCATCTCCCCAGCCCAGGGTGGCTTCAGATCCTGGTGCAGCAGACAGAGAAGAGCACGTAGCAGAAAGGGCCTGGGATGGGGGGGGGGGGGTGTGCTTTGCCTTTTGGGGGGGGGGGGGGGGTCCAGCCCCTCGCAGCCCCCCCAGTGCCCACCCCGCTGCACCCAGGTGGGTGGCAATGCCGTGGGGAAAGGTTGGCCCTGCACCTGGGAATTGGGCGGGAGCTACCGCAGAGGAGGAATTGGGGGGGGGCACAGGCTTTCAGCAGCCGTGCCCCCCTCCCCTGCACCCCAACCCCAGCTACATGACCCCCCTGCCCGCCCCCCCCCCCACCTCGGACATGAGACAGACACCACCTCGCAGAGTTTAATTGGGGCAGCCCGAGCTACAAGTCTCACCCCACGGCACACAACACGCACCCTGCTCCCCAAAACAACACACAGAAAGGAAAGGGGGGGGGAGATGGAGTTGGGGACCCCCCCCCCTTACACCCCCACAGCAACACAGAGGCACAGCAAAAGCACACAGCAAGGCCCTGGCTCCGCTCCTCCGGCAGGCACAGAGGGGCTGGGGGGGCCGGGGTGGGCTGGGACGGGGAGGGGAGGGTGTTGGAGCAGAGGCTGGGTGCTCCAGCCAAAATGCTGAAAGAAAAAGCACCTGAGAACCTGCTGGGGGAAGAGGGGATCCCCAAGCCCTCCCCACAGTGAGCCCCAAGACTGTGGGGAGGCAAAGGGGCAGGGGGTGCCCAGGGCAGGGAGGGGGGCTGCTGGGTGCTCTCTAACTGGGACCAAACTGGGTCTGGCAGCTCCCGTCCTGCTGAGGGTGGTCAGGAGGAAGGGGGGGGCTTCACCCTGTCACCGTGGGGCTGGGGGGGAGTCGGGGGCACTTCACCCGGGGGCATGGATGTGCCAAGGGGCCGTGCATCGGCTGCATCCTGCCAGGGGCTCTGTGCATGAATGGGGGGCTCGGGGGGGGGGGGACACCCCCCTTCCCTTCCACTGCTAACAACTCCCAGGAAAACAGCAAACCAGCCAGGAAACCCCCTTCATGCAAAACAGGAGAGAGGGACCACGCCATCCCCCCCCAGGGAGGGGCAAGGGAGGGGTGAAGCTCTCGGGGTGCAGGGGGCAACCCCCTCTCCATCGCCGCCGGCACCCAGAACCTACTGGTTGTCCTCTCTGGCAGCGTGCAAGGAAAGAGAGATGGGGCACGGCCCCCCACGTTAGACACGGCGAGCCCCACGGCACACGGGCACAAGAGCATGCCCCCCCCCCAACTTGACTCAGCCTCAAAGGGATGGATTTGGGGGCCCCACGCTCCCCATGGGGCTTGGAGCCAGGATCCAGCCAGGCAGCAACAGACAGAGGTGGCGGCAGGACAGCCGGACATCGGCGGGGGAGGATGAACCCCTCCATCTCCCAAATCCTCCCCCCCGCCGGGCGAGGACGGACCGGCACAAACAGCCACGGGAGACAACACTCAGCTGCAAGACAGGACATGGCCAGACGGGCCACAGAACCCCACGCTGACCCCCAGTTTTGGTTTCAAGGGTGGGCTTGGCCCAGGTGCGAGCTGGTACGGGTGTCTCCCCCCCCTCCATCCCGGCCGGGGGTGCGGGAGCCTTACAGCGTTTGGTAGGTGCTGTCCTTCGACTTGATGAACTTGACGATGAAGAAGACCACGGCTTGGACGCTCAGCACCAGCACGATGCCGCCGATGAAGCTGGCCGTGTCAAAGCCGGGTGGGTGAAACTCGGGGCTGCCCGTCAACGGGGCGCTGGTGGTGGTGGTCTCTAATGGCAGGGGAAAATGGGGTGTGTGTGTGGGGGGGGTTATGGGTGCTTTTGGCATCCCTGGGTACCGATGCTCCCGTCAAGGAGAGGGGATTTGGGGTCCACGCAGACCCCAGCGGCTGCACGGGGAGGAATGGCTGTTTCCCACCCCAGGGCTGGGATGTCCCCACCAACATGTGGATGCAGGGACGGGCTCAGCCCCTTCCCATGCCGGAGCAGCCGGCACCGCCTGGGAGAGGAGCCAGCGGCAAAAAGATCCCAGTGGGATCAATAATTCAGAGGGCTCTGGGCTCCGGTTACCCGCTGTAATTAGCCCGGTGCTCTCCAGTTCCCGCTTCCTGGAAGAGGCTCCTTCTCTGCTCCCAGCCCCTGCTCCAACCCGGCCGGAGACGGCACTTCCCAGCAAGGATGCAGCAGGGCTGGTTCTCGGAAGGGGGCTTCAGGGTGTTAGGACACCCCCCCCCCCCGCCCCCATCCCCATCCTGCCATCGCTGCAGCCCATGGCATCGTTGCTGAAGGCAGGGAGGGGGGGACAGGGACGGAGCTGTGACCCTGGGGACAGCGCTGGCACCTCCCAGGGCACAGCCAGGGTCAAAGCTCCATGGACACAACCCCGAGGGCAGCTCTGCTCATCCCTCCCCAGGGACATGGAACACGGAGGGAAGCGGTTTGTCCCATCCCACTAGTCACTGTCCCCTGGGGCACCCGGACCTCCCCCTACCCCCCCCCCCCCCAAGCCACCACCTCCTGCCCCCCCAGCACAGCTCACTTGGGGAGTGCGTCGCCGGCTCCTTGCTATGGGACTGTGGAGGCTCTTCAGTGGGGGATTTCAGCGCTGTCAGAGGCAGTGACATAAGGAAGGGGGGAGAAAGGGTTGGCAAGGGCCATCGTCGTGCACCCCCCGCCCCATGTCCCTGTCCCGGGGGTGGGATTTCAGCCCCACGGCCCCCGCACCGCGGCAGCACCTCCGTCCCGAAGGCTGCTGGGTGCGGGGGGGACCCGCTCTTGTTGGGGGTGGGGAGCGGGGTTACCTCGACACAGGGCACTGGTGTTGTAGAGCACACAGGTCTCCCGCGCTGCTGCCCCTCTGTGCACGCAGCTCCCTGTCTCTGCGGGAAGAGGGAGCAGGGTTTTCCCAAGGGACACCCCCCCCCTTGCCCCCAGCAAACCAGCCCGTGGGGGCACCCAGTGCAGCCGGTGGCATTTGGGTCCAGGGCTGTCCTGGACACTCGAGGGTTTGGGATGGCAAAGACCCATTCCCTGGGGTGGGCATCCATCCGAGGGGCTGTGAGCTGGGGCTCACATCGGCACCTCCCCAAGGGAGAGCCCCAAACAAGGGCCTTCCAAACAGCCAGCTTTGTCCCATCTCCATCGCTTGGTGCTCCTCCATCCGCACATCCATGGAGGGGGGTGGGTTCCCAGCGGTACCCCAAACCCAGCACAGCTGGGAGCAGCACACACCAAAAATGCTGCTGGCATGGATCCCCTGCCTCCCGCCGGGATGGGTCAGGTAAGATGGACCTGGACCATGGAAAGCAGCTGGAACCAGGCACCCAAGGGTGCTGAGCCACTGGCACCATCCCAGCATGGCCCCAGCTCAGCAGCAGTGACTGGGGGAGGCCGGTGGGAGCCCCTCGCTGTCCTCCCACATGGCTGAGCCCCTTCACCTGGCTCCTCGGGGGTCCCGCAGCCCATCCAGACGCAGCCGGTGCTGTTGTGTGAGGTGGTGCTGGCCGTGCATGTCTCGCAGGACCTCAGCTCGCCGCAGTCTCCTGCCAAATCTGGGAGAAAAGGGGTGAGGACAGGGCCAGAACCCATCCCACCCCATCAGCCGGGGTCAGGGCTGGACCCTCTTGCCCCACAGAGGAAGACTTCTCAGGATGCAGCAGGAGGGATGAAGGCACCTCTTGCAGCAGCAAAGCCACTAACAGACCCGTCCTGGCAGGCTGCAGGTGTGTTTGTAGCATCACCAGCTCCCTGGAGAGGGGACACCCCACACCCCACAGCTCCCAGCACCCACGGCCACCCAGGACACGCAGGACTCAGCCCGCAGCCACACTCAGCGCAAGGCAAGCCCACCCCAGCCCAGGAGCTTTTGATGGAGGTTTAAAAAGGGATGAGGCAGCAGCACCAGGCTGCTCCCAGCTTGGCTGGGGTTACCTGAGCGGCATCACCCCTCTGCCCACCCCACCCCCCCCCCAGACCATCCTGCAGGTCCCCCTGTTCCCCATCGCCCTGCTAATGGTGGTGAGTCACTTGGGTGTTCACAGAGCCGTTCTGCCACGAGCTCTTCCCCCACACACACGCTCATCATTAATTTACAGTGATGACTGTCAGCGAGGGAGGCTGCAACGAGGAGCCGTGGCCGGGCCCTGCCTGCACCTCGCTGTGTCCCACACCCCCGTTTGCACCATCCCGGGAAAGAGCCGGGAGCCATTCCCCACCCTGGACATATTTCCAGGCTCTAAGGGGACAAACAACCCCCTCTGCGGGGCTTGCAAGAGGGTTGCTGGGGGTTGAGAACCCCTGGGCTGGCTCTCCACACCCCCCCTCCCAGCTTTTAGGGTCATCCTGGATGCCTGGGCCACATTCGGCTGATAGAAGAGGCCCTTTCCCTCTCCCAGTAAAAGCAAAGGGGGCAACTGGTGGCGTAAGGCGTGAAGTGGGATGCTGCGGACCTATTGCCATGGCTACAGCGTGGTGGGCACGCCGCCGGGCCCCCCCCTCCAGAATTTAGAGACCTGCCGGGAACCAATGGGAAAGTAGGACTTTGTTCACAAGGGTTTCAGGCAGGTTTATAATTTAAGTTATTTTTATCGCGGCAAGCACAGGAACAGACGTTTGAGCCCAACGTTGTCAACTCCCGCTCCTGTTGTCAGGTGTGGGGAGGGAGAGGGAAATAAAGGGGGGCAGTGGGGCTGGCTAGGGGCAGCCCCATCCCCGTGGGTGCTCTGGGAACACGCGTGGGTCCTGGTGGGACAAGTCTGAGTGGAAATGTCTCCTGTGAGCAGTGGGGGGATGGGAGAAGGGGAGCAGCAGCAAGCCTGGGGTTTGCATAATTAATGCCCGGAGTTGCAGGCAGCCGGGGCAGGAGGATGACGGCTCCGCTCCCCACTCCCCCACCACGGAAACCGCCACGAACCAGGAGATCCCCCCCACTTTTTGGAGAGGAGGCTGGACCCTGCACCGCACTTGTCCCGCACCCCTCCTGGCCTTGGGGGTCCCAGACCCCCAGTTGGGAGCAGGAGCAGGGGCCCCTTCCCCCTCCAACTGGGGCCAGCCGAGGGAATGAGGCTCTCCCAGCTCCATCACGGGTGAGAGAGTCCCGCGGGGGGAAAGGTACACACACCCCACACACACAAAAAAAAAAAAAAAAAAAAAAAAAAAAAAAGTTCGGCTGCTCCAAAGCTGCAAACTCCCCTCGCCCCCCGCACCCTCCACCCTGGCCACCTCCCACCCCCCCCTCCCCACTCCCCGGCCGTACCTGCGCGGGTGGGAGCGGACCCCTGCGCGCACAGCAACGCGCAGAGCAGCGCGCAGCGCAGCGCCCCGGCGCACGGCGGGGCCATGGCCCGGCCCGCTTATGCTCGGCTTAGCCAGGCTCGGCTCGGCTCAGGCCCGGCTCGGCTCGGCCCGGTCCCAGCGGGAGGCGTCGGGCTGCGGCACCGCGGAGCTCCCGGGAGAGCGGAGCGGAGCCGCGGGCACATGCGCGCCCGCGGGAGGCGGCGGGGGGGGGGGGCAGGGGCGGCCCCGCCTCGTCCCGCCCCGCCCCGGGGGGCCCGGCCCTGGGGGGGGGCCGCGCTCCCGAGGTGTAACCACCCCCTCCTGCCCGGCTGCCGTTGGCCGTGGGGAAATGCCGGGGCTGCCCCGGGCTCGGGGGGTTCAGAGCGCCGGGAGCTGCGCCCCCCCCCCCCCCCCCCCCCCGCATGCACTGCTCCGCTGGACACACCGCACTGCACGCACTGCACCCTGCCTGTGCGGCCCACGCACTGCACCAACACTGCACGCACTGCACAAACAAACACTGCACGCATTGCACAAACACTGCACGCACTGCACCAACACTGCACACACTGCACAAACACTGCACGCATTGCACAAACACTGCACGCATTGCACAAACAAACACTGCACGCATTGCACAAACACTGCACACACTGCACAAACACTGCACGCATTGCACAAACACTGCACGCATTGCACAAACAAACACTGCACGCATTGCACAAACACTGCACGCATTGCACATGCTGTACTTGCACCCTGCCCGTGCACTGCACGCACTGCACGCGCATTGCGCACACTCTGCACACGCACTGCACGCCCTGCACACCCTGCCTGTGCACTGCACCCACTGCACCACGCCCTGCACGCCCTGCACACCCTGCCCGTGCACTGCACACTTTGCACACCCTGCACCCTGGCCGTGCACTGCACGCACTGCACTCGCCCACGGCCTGTGCATTGCACGCACTGCGCACACTGCAGTCACCTGCACGCTGCCTGGACACTGCACGCACTGCACACTGCATGCACCCAGCCCGCTGCACACCCTGCACCCCGGACACGCCCCGCACAGCCGCTCCGTCCCCAGTCCCGCACCCCCCCAGCCCAATTCTCGGGGCACCGCGACCCTTCCCGGGGCTGCGGCGGGTCCTTCCCTCGTCCCTGCCCCCCCGGAACCCCCCCGGGAACCGGCGGCGGTCAGCACCGCGAACAGCTCCCGCCGAACCGAGCCGAGCCGAGCCGAGCCGAGCCGAGCCGAGCCGAGCCGAGCCGAGCCGAGCCGAGCCCTCAGCAGGGCTCCGAGGGGAGGCTGCAGGGGCACCGGGGACCCCCCCCCCAAGACCCCCCCTCCCCCGCCGGGTCCCGACAGCGGCTCAGCCGGGCCCGACCCCCCTCCCGCCCCCCCACGTTGTAGCAGCGGGGCCGGGACTGTCCAACCCACTCCCCCCCACAGACACCCCCCCCCCCCCCACCTCCGCGGCGAGGGCAAGGTTTGAAATGCACCGGGCTTCGAGGAAACCGGCGTGGGGGAGAGTCCCAGCAGGGTCCCGAGGGTGCGTCCACCTTCCTCCTCCTCCTCCTCCCCCGGGGAGGAGGGCTCCCTGCCAGCCGCCCTTCCCGTACCCCACCCCCCCACCCCCAGGCCAGCCCTTCCCGCTTCTCCCGGCCATTAATTATTCAGGCCCGCGTGGGAAAGCCGCGGGGACCCGCAGGGGAGGCGGAGGGGGGCTGCGCACCCCCGGCAGTGCGGGGGAGGACCCAGACTCGCCCCCCCTCCCCCGCCCCCTCCACACCCCACGCAAAGCGGAGCCCCCAAACCTCTGCAGTGTGTGTGTGGGGGGTGTCAGAGCCGGCGTGTGTGTCCCCCCCCCCCCCCACTCCTCTGCAGCACGGCCCTGCAAGGACGTGGCGGGGGGGACCCGGGCTGGGGGGGAGTGTCCCGGGAGGGGGGCGGGGGGGGACGACGACGACACGGGCTGTTTTTATGAATGAGCTGCTCCATCCCCAGAGCGATTACTATGCGGCGCGCGCGCGCCCGCGCTGCCTCGCGGGGCGCTGATTGGCTCCGGCGCGCTATTGACGTCACAGCGGGGAGAACGGGGCTGCGAGGAGGAGGACGGGGGGGGGGGGGGGGGGGGGGGGAGGTGGCGGTGGGGGGGATGCTTATGGTGAGTCACCCCCACACCCCCCCACGCCCCCCCCCACACCCGCACTCCCCCCCCCGGCGGGGCTCGGTCACTATAACTCGGCGGCGCCCATGGCAGCGGGCCCCCAGCCCAGCGCAGCCCGGGCCGCGGCCGAGCATCCCGGCAGGTGAGTGCCTGGAACCGTGGGGGGGACGGGGACACACACACGGACACCGCGGGGGGGGACACACACAGACACCGAGGGGGGGGGGGGGGTGAGACCGCTCGGGCAAAGCGCTGTGGGAAGGAGGGCGAGGGGCACCCGTGCACCCACCCCCCCCCCAACTCCCCCAAACAGTGCTGCTTTGCCTGGGTGCCCCGGGAGGGACAGAACCCCCCCAAAGGAAGGAGGGAGAGGGGCGGAATCCCCCCGGTTGGGGAGGTGGGGCATGGTGGGGCCGGGAAGGCACCTCTTGCCACTGGGGTGCCGGTCCTGGGGGAGAAGGGCTGTCCCCTTCACCTGCTGCTTGGGGTCTCGCCAATTTGGGCCACGGAAGGGTGAGGTGGAGGCGGGGCAGTCTGCCCTGCTCCCCTCTATTTATCCACCAAAATCATTCAGGGTGCCACCCCCAGCAGCTAATGCAGGCAGGAGTGGGCTGAATGGGGGTTCCCCCCCCCCCCCCCCCCCCTTTATTCACATATTTCTTTTTCTTTGCTGGCAAAAGAATTAAAGCCAAGCCACCTTGCCCAGAAAAATCCCCTCGGAGCAAAGAGCGAGCACCCCCTCATCACACACCGCTCTGCCCCTGCTCCTGGAGACAACTTTTGGGGGGAGGCAGGACTGTCCCTGGCTGGGTGGCACAGGGACAGCTCGGGTGGGTCCCTGCTTCAGGCGGTGGGTGCTGAAGGTTGGGCGGGGGGGGCGCTGCTCTTGCTTTTGGCTGCGGCAGGTCAGCCTCCGCCATGAGGGAGGAAGGGCCCCCCAACTCCAGCGAAGGCCACCAAGGCTGGTTCGCGGCCAGGAACGGCAGCGGCAGCTCCTTGGACCTGGAGTCTGTGGTGCAACCCCTCGCCTTGAACCCGTGGGACGTCGTCCTCTGCATCTCCGGGACCATTATCTCCTGCGAGAACGCCATCGTGGTGGTGGTCATCTTCTACACCCCGACTTTCCGGGCTCCCATGTTCCTCCTCATCGGCAGCTTGGCCACTGCCGACCTCCTGGCCGGTTTGGGGTTGATCCTGCATTTTGCCTTTGTCTACTTCATCCCGTCGGAGGCGGTCAGCTTGCTGACGGTGGGGCTCCTGGTCACCTCCTTCACGGCCAGCGTCAGCAGCTTGCTGACCATCACCATTGACCGCTACCTGTCCCTCTACAACGCCCTGACCTACTACTCGGAGAGGACGGTCACCAGGACTTACATCATGTTGATCCTCACCTGGGGAGCCTCCATCTGCTACGGGCTCCTGCCCATCATGGGCTGGAACTGCCTGAAGGAGCCCTCCGCCTGCAGCATCGTCAAGCCCCTGATGAAGAACCACCTCATCATCCTCTCCATCTCCTTCTTCATGGTCTTTGCGGTGATGCTCCAGCTCTATGTGCAGATCTGTAAGATCGTCTGCCGGCACGCCCACCAGATCGCCGTCCAGAGACATTTCCTGGCCAGTTCCCACTACGTCACCACCCGAAAAGGCATCGCCACCTTGGCCGTCATCCTGGGCACCTTCGCTTCGTGCTGGCTGCCCTTCGCCATTTACTGTCTCCTGGGGGATTACAGCTACCCAGCCCTCTACACCTACGTCACCCTGCTCCCTGCCACCTACAACTCCATGATCAACCCCGTCATTTACGCCTTCAGGAACCAGGAGATCCAGAAAGTGCTGTGGACCGTGTGCTGCGGGTGCTTCTCCTCCACCATGCCTTTCCGGTCCCGCTCCCCCAGTGACGTCTGACACATCTCCCCCTCCCCGCCCTCTCTGCACCTTTCACTTACCAATTGCGGTTGGGGGATTTTCTTTTTTTTTTTTTCCTTCCCCTTTTCATTCCCAGAGACACATCACAGAAGCTCTCGGAAACAAGCAGCTCTTCCCAGCCCCGTCCTTTCGGGTACAACCCCTTCTCGTCATCTATTTTTCCACTTTTTGAATTTACAGGAGAGAAAAACATATTTTTTATCCATAATACAATCTATATTTATGTGTGTGCATGAGAGACAGAAGGGGGAGATCCTCATATTTTCTTTAAAACTGCGATGCTTTATTTTTTTAAGGGGGGCTGATATTGGGAATGTTTGCTCCCTTTTGCTTTTTCGACAGCCTCGTTATTTACCTCAGATAGTTAAAATAGATTTTGTACGTTTGGCGAAGGGGGGGGGGGGGAGACTTGCGTGCTGGAGGAGGAGGGACTGAAATCCACCCCCTTCTCCCAGTCATCCATCCATTTATTTATTATTTTTTAATTATTATTTAATATGATTTGAATGTCTCCTTCCCGCCGGCCCAGCGCTGGGGCTTGCTGCCCTCTAGTGCTCGCTGCCTTCGGGCAGAGGATGCTGCCGGAGGCTCTGCACCCCCAAACCCAGCAGTTGGGGGGTCCCCTGGGTGCTGCCCCCTCCATGGCATCCAGGGATGCACCCCCTGCCCCCCTGCCAAAGCGGTTTTTTTTGCACTGGGACTGGATTTGCACATTTTTGGGGGGAGGGAGGAGACGGATGCGAAGAGGCCCCTTAGGAAGGGGAACCCCTCGGTGGGGTTAGAGTGTGTGTGGGGGCTGCTTCTTGTTTACAACCATGGGAGGGGGGGAATAAATGTAATTTGTGATAAGAGGTGCAGCTGTTTGATGCTGGGGGGGGTGTGCTGGCTTGGGATGGTGTCTCCTGGGGTGGTGATGGGGGGGGAGCGGGTTGAGGTCGCCCCGAGTCCAGGCGGGACCTTCTCCCCGCTCCATCTCCTTGCGCCCGGTTAAGAAATCCCAAGCGACAGCGCTGCCCCCACCCATCACATCCTGTTAGCAGGAGCCGGCCCCCGGGGGAGCAGCACCAAAGGCCCTGGCCATCCTCATCATCCCAGCACCCCGCAGGCAGAAGGGCTACATCCAGCCTTGGTGCTGTTATTGTTGCCTCCATCTCTGCAAGGTCAGGGGCAGCTGCCTGCACCCCATCCCCTCTCTGGGGAAGGGGGGCTCAGAGCGTCCCCCTGCCACCGAGGTGCCCGTGTTGCAAGAGCCACTGCTCAAACAGGGGCTGGGATGCCCATCGTTGCTGCCCGCGCTGTTTGCATGCAGCGCTCGTCACAGGGAAGGCAGGGTTAATGATGGCAAAGCTAATTAGGGCAGCTCATCCCCTCCGGTAGCAGGACTCTGTGCCCCGAGAGCCCCCCGTGACCGTGGCCACCCCGGTCAGGGAGCAGCAGGTTTCTTACAGGCATTTGTGCATCCGCAGACGCGCCGGGATGTGGCAGAGCCCAGGGCTGAAGAGCAGCCGGAGCCCGGCTGGGTGCTGCGGCGTGGGCGGTGCAGGATGCGTGCCGGCCCCCGAGGCTTGGCTTCACCCTGGGCTCGGGGACCTGGTGGCAGCCCGGGGGGTGGATGCTGTTTATTGCAAAGGAAAGAAAGATTTCCTTCCGCTTCTCCGGCCGAGCTGAGCGTTGGGAAGAGGTTATGGCAGCAAGCGTCGAGGGGAGATGGGGCTGGGGAGAGGTTGAGGGACCCACAGACCAGCGGCTCCTGCTCTCCAGGGGCTACGCGCAGCGCTGGGGACAGGGTTGGGGAATTTGGGGCTCCCCTTGTCCCCACTGAAGTTAAACCAGAGGGAAAGGAGCAAAGCTCAGGGGTTAGAGACATCCGTCGTGCCCTGGGGATGAGCTGAGGCTGCTTCATCCCTCAGCCAGGGCATAATTCCCAAGCCCACCTCCCCCAGCAGTGAAAAATCCTGTAATTCCCAGCCCTGCTTTATTCACGGGCAGTTTACACCTGGTTGTTCTTATGTCAACATTGTACGGCAGCTTAAATAGCTTTTCTCTCCCTCGTGTTTCCCCTGCTGATGTCTTCAGAGGGAGCAGCCGCAGCCCCTTTGCTTCTCCACAGTGGGCAAGCCCGGCCGGTCCCTCCCGCTCCCTGGGGTCCCTGTCACCTCCCCGGTGACACGCCAGGGTTTGTTGCGGGGTGTGCAAGCACGTGGCGTAAAGGCAGCACCATGAGGGTCTGCTGGGACCCCCCCCCCCCCCAAGGCTCCCACCCACCACGGCCGGCGGTGGGGTGGGCACAGGACTGCACCGGAGCTGATGGGCTTCCCAAATTCATCTGGGGGGGATTCAAAGGGCTGGGGTGAGCCCGTAGCCACAGCCCGGCATCAAAAGCCACCGTGACCCAGCACAGCAGGACAAGGGGGTGTCCATGCCCGGCTGCCCCCATGGCCAGAAATTTGGGGGACCCTCGGAGCTGGAGGCTGCACTGAGTCCTCGCACCCACCCCCGTGGGTCCCCTGAGAACGTCACCCCTCGCAGCCCCGTCCCCTGCTGCCACCACGGGCTGGGAAATGCACCCTTGGGCTCCTACCTGTGTCCGATTCCCTCCTGCCGGGATGGATGAGGAAACCCGAGGCTGAATGCGGGGCTGGAGGGAGCCGGGACCCCGACTCTGCCGCGGTGCTGGCTGCTCTCCCGGCACACCGGTGAGTCTGGAGGTGTTCCCGGCTGCTCCAGGCCTTTGGGGGATGGAGCAGGCGGCACCAAGTGGGGAGATAAAACAGCCTGCAGCAGGCCCCAGCCCGCTCCCTTTTTTAGTGGAGAAAGATACAGAAAGAGGAGGTATAAAAAATAGTCAAATCCATCCGAGAAGGCGCCCAAGCGCTGAGCAGCCACCCCCACGCCACCAATGTGCAGGAGAGGCTCGGGGAGGGGGGGACCAACGGCCCAGCTTTGGGGTTAAAATATGAGCTAAGAGGCTGCAAGGGGGATAAAGGCGTGGGCACACCATCACCCCAGCTGTGCATGCACATCTGGCAGGCCCAGCCCTCCCCAGGCACCCCCTGCCCAGCACTACGGCTCCCAGCAGCTGCTATAAGCCACAGGCAGCCTCTTGCCTCCAAACCCTGCCTGTGCTGCAGCGAGGGCAGGGGGCTGTGGGCAGGTTTTACTCCCCTTCTCTGCTGCAGGCAGCCCCTGTCCCGTTGGCAGCAGTGGGGCTCGGCTCCGGCTCCAAGTGCCCTTTGTCACCTTGCTGGGAGTGGGGACACCGGGCGAGAGCGCTGGCAGTAGCCACAGCAAAGCCAGGGCTGGTCCCTGCCAGGCAAAATCCCTCCTTCTCCTCATCCTGCTGCCAAAACCAGGGGGGGGGGCTTTGCCAGCTTGGAAGGTTGAAGGAGGTCAGTGCTACCCCCAAAACCTCCCACCAGCACTCCGAACCCCGACTGACCTGCCTGGGGCGCAGCCCATCGCCCACACCGCATCCCAGGGACGAGTCTCTGCTCCCAGTGATTTACTGGGGTGCCCGTGATGGGTGCGTCCCGGCGGGGAGCACAAGCCCCGACATCCCCCCCCCTGCACCATCGTGGGCGGCTGGGCTGGGAACGCCAGGCCACGGGGAGGGCTGAGCAGCTCTGGTTATTGGCCTGGGTTACATTTAAAATGAGAAACCTCAGCCCTGGCTTGGGGGATTTTGTTTCCTTGGAAGCAGGAGCAGGCAGGAAATGAAGAAAACGCGGCCCTGCTCATAAGCGTTTTACCAAATGCCGAAGGCAGCAGGGCAGCAGGAGGCATTTCCCAGTATAGCTCGGGCTGCGGAGCATCGTCCCCGGCCACCACCGGAGCCGTGGCTCCGGTCGGAGCTTCCCGGAGAAGAGATCCTGTCCCAAGGCGCTGCGCTGGGCAGGTGACAGCGAACAGCAGGGCGGAAAGCCCGTCGGTCTCCAGCACCCTGCAACCTCCCATTTCAGTCCCGCAGAGACATCCGATGCAGAAGGCGGCTTCGTGCCACCAGCCCTTGGCTGCCTGGCTGGGGTGCTGGGACCCCCCGGGGGGGGGGGGGGACACGACACAGCACCCTCTGCTCCCCCGGGGCAGCTCGCGGTGGAGCGGGCTCCCACGCTGGCTCAGGGCTGGGGCTTTGTCTAACTCAACCTGGCCCGGAGACAGCGCTGGGGGAGCGTAATTTGGCCCTGGCCGCAGCCCCAGCTCCGCGCCGGCTGCCTTAAGCCCTCCACATGCAGGCGCTGGCCTTTGCGGGAGCGGATGAGCCCAGCGCAGAGCTGCTGCCCTGCCAGACTGCAGAAACTTGAGCTCCAAATACATAATTCCTCTGGCACCCCGTGGTTATTTGTGAGCTGCTGTGAGCAGATGGAAGAGTTACAGATAAAGCCATCCGCAGCACGGGAGCCGATTGCCTTCCCCACACAGCCGCGTAGGCAACAGCAAAGGCAGGGAGGAGGGAAAAAAAAAAAAAAAAAAAAAAAAAAAAGAGGAAAAAAAAAAAAAAAAAAGGCAGAAAGAGAGCGAGAGAGAAGGAGTCAGCCATTTCTACAGGGGCTGAGCTGCCATCTCAGCACACCTACGTGCAAGAAATGGGGACTCTCTGCTGGCAGCGGGCCCTTCCCGGGGAGTTGGAAGAGGGTAGTGCTCTCCCACCACCCATGGCTGCTTGGCTAACGAAGGCAGCGCGAGTCGGGGGTGACATTGGCACGGCAGAGCGCTGCCACACACTGGGAGAGCAGGCTGTTAACGCTGATCAGAGCTGGCAGCGCCTGCACTCGCTTTGGTCCCAGAGGGGGAATTAAGGGAGAGAAGCTGACGTCAGTGGTGGAAAGGACACGCAGCCCACTCGTCCAAGGCAGCCGGCAGCATCTTCTGGGTGTTGCTAACACCACCTTGAAGGAGAAAATTAAATAGGTCTTTGGAGACAGGGGCTCCTGTGAAGCCGGAGCCCGGCCAGCTGTGATCCGGTGCCGAGCCCCATGGAAGAGGCAGACAGGCAAACACATCAAAGGCTGGGGCC